ATTGGTAGAAGTGGATATAGGGTAACAAAGGGTAAAAGTGCGTCGTGGGTAACAATAGGTTGAATGATAGCAATGGGGAGGTAATTCCAATGAATTCACTGTATACTCACCTCGTCGTTTGCATTCTTCCACACGCTGTACACACTTGGGTCAATACAGTTACTAACACTGTCACCAAACGCCTGCAAATAAATAAACAACAAATAATCACATCGTCATGGACTCCATGGCATACACATAGTATAGTAAGAGTGTTGATACATGTATGGTTCTAAGTAATATTGTATATTGAGATCTGATAACCTTTACTCAAGTTTCTACTCTCATCTTCTGAAAAGAACTTGCCTCGGAAACCGAAATTGTATCAATGTTTTCCGTGTCCATGGCAACGTAAGCAATTACATCCAAGGTGTTGACAGATATGAGAAGATCTCCAGGATATAGCTGTTTCTTGTGTCCATCATCTACGTCCACAAACGTTATATTACGAAGTGTTTCAGTGACATCAAGTACATCGGCAGCTGTTGCATTGGACTCTATCAGATTATTTACCTGTAAGAGATTAACTGTACAGGTGAATATTGAACCATTCATGTCAATATAGACAAATATGCAGTAGCTCAATATTGAATAACGTCAGATGAACCATGCAGGTCAACCGATCAATATCAAATAACGTTGGATGAACCATGCAGGACAACAAGTCAATATTGAATAACGTCAGATGAACCATGCAGGTCAACCGGTCAATATCAAATAATGTCGGATGAACCGTGCAGGTCAACAAGTCAATATTGAATAACGTCAGATGAACCACGCAGGTCAACCGGTCAATATCGAATAACGTCAGATGAACCATGCAGGTCAACAGGTCAATATTGATTAACGTCAGATGAACCATGTAGGCCAACAGGTCAATATTGAATAACGTCAGATGAACCATGTAGGCCAACAGGTCAATAATGACTAATGTCAGATGAACCATGTAGGCCAACAGGCTATTATTGAATAACGTCAGATGAACTGTGTAGGCCAACAGGTCATTACTGAATAACGTCAGATGAACCATTCAGACCAACAGGTCATTATTGAATAACGTCAGATGAACCATTCAGGTCAACCGGTCAGTATTGAATAACGTCTGATTAACCGTGCAAGTCAACAAGTCAATATTGAATAACGTCAGATGAACCACGCAGGTCAACCAGTCAATATCAAATAACGTCAGATGAACCATGTAGGCCAACAGGTCAATATTGAATAATGGCAGATGAACCATGTAGGTCAACAGGCCAATATTGAATAACATCAGATGAACCATGTAGGCCAACAGGTCAATATTGAATAACGTCAGATGAACCATGTAGGCCAACAGGTCATTATTGAATAACGTTAGATGAACCATTCAGGTCAACCAGTCAATATCGAATAAAGTCAGATGAAACATGCAGGTCAACATATCATTATTGAATGACGACAGATAAACCATGCAAGTCAACCAGTCAATATCGAATAACGTCAGATGAACCATGTAGGCCAACACGTCAATATTGAATAACGTCAGATGAACCATGTAGGCCAACACGTCAATATTGAATAACGTCAGATGAACCATGTAGGCCAACAGGTCAATATTGAATGACGTCAGATGAACCATGTAGGCCAAAAGGTCATTATTGAATAACGACAGATAAACCATGCAGGTCAACAGGTCATTATTGAATAACGTCAGATGAACCATGAAGATCAACCAGTCAATATTGAATTAAGTCAGATGAACCATGTAGGCCAACACGTCAATATTGAATAAAGTCGGATGAACCATGTAGGCCAACAGGCCAATATTGAATAACGTCAGATGAACCATGTAGGCCAACAGGTCAATATTGAATAACGTCAGATGAACCATGCAGATCAACCGGTCAATATTGAATAACGTCAGATGAACCATGTAGGCCAACACGTCAATATTGAATAACGTCAGATGAACCATGTAGGCCAACAGGTCAATATTGAATAACGTCAGATGAACCATGTAGGCCAACAAGTCATTATTGATTAAAGTCAGATGAACCATCCAGGTAAACCAGTCAATATTGAATAACGTCAGGTGAACCATGCAGCTCAACCAGTCGATATTGAATAACGTCAGATGAACTATGCATGTCAACCAGTCAATATTGAATAACCTCAGATGAACCATGCAGGTCAACCGGCCAATATTGAATAATGTCAGATGAACCATGCAGGTCAACCAGTCAATATCGAATAACGTCAGATGAACCATGCAAGTCAACTGGTCAATATTGAATAACGTCAAATTAACCATGCAGGTCAACAGGTCATTATTGAATAGCGTCAGATGAACCATGCAGATCAACAGGTCATTATTGAATAACGTCAGATGAACCATGCAAATCAACCGGTCATTATTGAATAACGTCAGACGAACCATGCAGATCAACTGGTCAATATTGAATAACGTCAAATTAACCATGCAGGTCAACAGGTCATTATTGAATAACGTCAGATGAACCATGCAAGTCAACTGGTCAATATCGAATAACGTCAGATGAACCATGCAAGTCAACTGGTCAATATTGAATAACGTCAAATTAACCATGCAGGTCAACAGGTCATTATTGAATAACATCAGATGAACCATGCAGGTCAACAGGTCATTATTGAATAACGTCAGATGAACCATGCAGATCAACCGGTCATTATTGAATAACGTCAGATGAACCATGCAGATCAACTGGTCAATATTGAATAACGTCAGATGAACCATGTAGGCCACCAGGTCAATATTGAATAACGTCAGATGAACCATGCAGATCAACTGGTCAATATTGAATAACGTCAGATGAACCATGTAGGCCAACAGGTCAATATTGAATGACGTCAGATGAACCATGTAGGCCAAAAGGTCATTATTGAATAACGTCAGATGAACCATGAAGATCAACCAGTCAATATTGAATTAAGTCAGATGAACCATGTAGGCCAACACGTCAATATTGAATAAAGTCGGATGAACCATGTAGGCCA